CTTATCATGACCTCCCATTTTACAAATGGGGAAACTGAGGCACAGAGCAGGGACGGGACTTGTCCCCCGCCCCCAGGTCATGCAGTGAGACCTCTCCCGCTTTCAGATCCCGCCTTCCAACTCTCCTTTGCTGCGATGCCCACAAAACCCGTGACAGAGGTGAGGCAGGCGGTGCCCACTGTGCCAGCCAGTATGGCTCATCAATCCCTTCTGCTCCCCCGTCTGCTCGCCCCTGCCCAATTGGGGGGGGTCCCTGGAAAAAAGGCACCTCCACGCCCCCGACCTGCTCCGCCTGCCCAGCACTCCTGCTGGGGAGCGGGGGAAGCCCCCACACCCTGACCCCATTTCCCCAGTATGTGTGCTGGGCGGGGGAGGGACTGCCCTCCGCCCAGGCAAGGAGCTGTGGGGGGGTCCCACAGGCTGGCCCCGGCCCCAAGGAATCCAGCATCTCCTTTGACGTCATCAAGCAGGCTCCTCCCACCGCTTACCCACGTCAAACTCAAAGCCTTTCTCCTGGAAGGTGTGGCAGCAGCCCCCCGCCTGGTCGTGCTGCTCCAGCACCAGGACCCGCTTGCCGGCCTTTGCCAAGGCAGCCGCCGCGGCCAGGCCTCCGATCCCGCTACCGATCACGATGGCGTCCAGGTCGGGCGGCACCTTCTCCAGGGCGAAACCTGGCAAGGGATGGCAAAGGGTGAACAACGCCAGAGCCCGCAGGATCCCGGGGGCGTGGGAGGGGAGACCCCGTGCCACGGCCCTACTCTGGGGGGACATGGGGTCGCTGCCACCCAGCCCGAAACCCTCTGTCTCATTCTCCTGGCCCCGCTGCGGCTTCTCACCCCAGGCACCCAGGACGATGGGACCCCCCAGCGGCTCTGGTGCCTCTTGCGGGGGGGCTGTGATGAATCCAAAGGGGGTTTCTTCACCGAGGCTGCAGGACACAGGCAGAACCTGCGGGTCCCTCTGCTCACCAGAACGCCTGGCTGGGTCTCCCTGGCGGAGACGGCTGGCTACAGCCCAGCGGCACAGCCCCGAGGGCCAGATTCCCTCTCCCCAGCGCCGGGGGCGGGTGTCATTCCTACCAGGGAATCTGAGCCGTAGGGCCGCAGGACCTCCCTGCCCTGGTGTGAATGGCTGCAGGGGCCCGGTAGGGGGGCAGTATGCTCATCTAGGGCCGAGCAACTCAACCTTGCACTGGAGCGGGGCAGGTACCCACGTAACTTTCGCTAAGTCTCTCTCGCTGGGGTTCCTCCCTTGGGGCTGGCTGGGGCTACGGTGAAAGGATTGCCCTAGTGGGAAGGGGGGCGCTGACCCTGGGATTAACACTTGATCTCCCCGAAAGGGGGTCGGGGCTTCGGCGGGGACGGCCCTCCGACGGGTGTCACAAACGAGATTTGGGGACCACGTCAGAGCAGCTACCCCAACAAAGGGCAGCCTTCACAACCCCAGTGATTATAAAATACCACATAGAGGCTCCTTGGCTGCCTCAGTTTACCAGGGCTGACCAGACAACCCTGGCAGCTTTCCGAGAGGGGCTGGACTCCACGCGCTGAGTAGACAGCTTCCCAGAGAGCTGGGGTCTTGCTGGGCCAGCTGGGGGGAGCTGCCCCGAACGAAGTAGGCGCGTGGCCAGCAGAACCAAAGGGCGGAGTGGAAAACGTTTTGCAGCGACTGGAGGTGTGTGGGTCCCCGAGCGCCGCCCAGGGCATGGCAGTGCTACTCTCGGCCCCAGCAATCCAGGGAGAGGCTCGGGGAGTCCGCCAGCAGCCTCCGGCTCATCCTACAGTCCCGCTACAAGCCCCACACCCACATCTCGATTTCAGGGCCCGACGGCTGGGTCACAAAAGCCCAAAGCAACCCAGGGCTGGGCGGCCTCCTGCTACCGACGACCTCTGACACTTGCGGCCTGGCCCGGGACGGATCAAGACTCCCAGGTAAGACCCACGACCCCGCCCCTCCAGACACAGGAGCAGTCGGGCGACAAGCAGCCCAGCTGCCGAGACCCGGTCACTCCGCCCCCCCCTTCCCAGGACCTGGCCCGAGGGGCCACGGGCCGACACGTCCAGCTGCAGGGCTGAGCAGATGGAGACGCACGTGCAGATGCTGCCCGGGATAGGGCTGGTCGCGAGGGCTGGTGCTGCCGCGTATGCAGCACGCAGCTGCCTAGGGCACCATGAAATGTGGGGCAATTTGGTGCGTATGCTGCGTATGCCTAAGGCTGGCCCTGGGGGTTATTTGCTCCCGCAGGAGAGGCAGCAGCCTCGAGAGAGAGGGCGAGACAGCCAGAAAGCCCAGGGGAGGGTGAATCCCCACTGACCCAAAGAGAGAGGATTTGATTCGCATTGCCACCAAGGCCCCCCTTGCATTGCCAGAGCGTGGCCTCTCGCTCTCTGTGTCTGGGTCCGATTCTAACCCAGGACGAGGCCCAGAGCCAGCCCGACGCGTGAGCTGGCGGGAACACCCAACTCCAGCACGGGAGCGGAGGGAGATGGGAAAAGCCCAGCCCCGGCGGACCGGAATAGACGCGGATTAAACCGAAAAACACAGGCCGAGAAGGGCTCGGTCCATCTGCCGCGGCGGACGAGCGGGATTATCGTGCTGCTGGATAACGAGGAAATAGGTGGCCGGGCTGAGTCAAAGCCACAGTGCCGGGGGGGCGGGGAGGGAGCGGAGGAAGGAGCAGATGGAAACAAAGGTTCAAAATGAAACGGGGATCGGGGCAGGGAGGAGGGGAGCGAGCACGGGGCACCCGCAGGACTGTCCGGATGGGCTGTTTGCCCAGACACCGCGAGGCATGAGGGGAGAGTCTGTCGGCCCTCAAATTAGTCAGTGCCTTGGAGAAG